CAGTTCGCAAAATGTACAGTTTGTGTCCATTGTTCTTCTAAGATGATTGTTTAGCGGAAAAGAGCGATGTAGAAGTTTGTATCAGATTTCTCTTTGCTTGAGACATTTGTGAGGTCGTGTCCGTACATTTTTCCATGGAATATTGTAGCGTCGGGGTCTCACAGCGCACGAGTAGGGCTTCATTTGGGAGGTGCACTTGTGCTGATAGTCGCTCTTTTTCCGCGGCGACTCATTTTAAGACGAGATTAACTGAAGATGAAGCCGAGTAAGTTTGTTTTGAAAACTTTTTCATATATCTCGATATATTTTGCATTATCTCAATATATGATATATATCCCGATATCTGTACAGGAAAAATTTGGGAAAAATGAAGCACCACATGGCTAATTTGCGTAAACTAAGCTTCTTGTGCGCTGATGCGGTTCAGTTTCTGTCGGACTAAAGGACACGACTCAGTGGAATATGAGTGTTCTTTCTGTGACAGAGGGGTGTTCTGCTGATGGTGAGTCTGTTCTGTGTTTCTGTCGTGTTGTAGATGGTTCATGTTAAACTTTTCAGAGATTTATTTATTTATTTATTTGAGACAGCGCACAATTTTTACATTAACCTTTTTTACAGGAGAGATGTTTGTACATCAGGTTGTAGGTGCCTGTCGTCCGTGAGCAGATTCATTGTTTGATTGTATTTAACTGACCTTGAATATCAACTGTTCATGGAGACCTGTAACATGTTTTGGGTTGATGGGGGAAACCCGAGCGCCCGGAGGAAACTCATCCAGACACAGGGAGAAACATGCAAACTCCACACAGATTTTTGCTGTGAGGCACGTCGCCGCCTAACAGACCGTATAACAGATTATACGGTCTGTGCGTACGATATATATTCGTATAACATATATTCTAGCCTCGTAGTGTTTTGGCGCCGGATCAGATCTGTAGGCACCAGATCGTTCCGTCTCTGGAGCCGTTGTCCATCGGATTAATGTGGACGAACAACGAAAACAACTCAAGTACGAACTAGTGTGGACGAGTCCTTCTACACATCGTCCATGGAGTGAGAATAAAACATAAGTACAGTATCTAAAAATAAATATGAACACGTAAAAGAGAAGCTCGTTACAGCGATATTGGCAAACGCTTCAAAATATGATTATCTGGGTGCTTGAAAACCGTATTCTGGGCAACAGTTCTGTCCAGTCCAGTTTTCTTTTGATCACTTCGTCAGTCCCGAGGTAGAAAAACACATAAAATCCAACTGCCAATGTAAACAAGACACACAGATCAATAATTATAGATCACATCCCATGTACAGAGCAGCAGCGCTCACCCGCCCTCAAACATGTCATTACAACTTATATATTATCTGTTACATAAGGACGCGCAACAGCTCACCTTTATGTAACAGACACGCCGGTGTTTCTGTCAATCACATCATCTTAGCACGGTTTCTGTATAACTGGGACATACTGTATTTATATAAGCATATTTGTGTTTTATTTTTCTGAAGTATAAGTTGCACCAGCCCAAAAATGCCTTACGAAGAAGAAAAGAAACATATAAGTCGCATTTTTGGGGGGAAATGTACTTTATAAAATCAAAGACCAGGAGCCGACGTTTCCTGTGTAAAGTCAAGTTGTAGTAAAAACAACAGAAGAGAAAACATCAGACTGTTAACGTCACATATGAACAGTTCTTCAGATAAACTATAACATAAACAACAGAACAGAACAAGTTTAACCAAACTCTCCATCTCACTCCAAATCACTAAATCCATTCAATTCTTCATCCTCGGTGTCACTTCTGAGCAACTCGGCCTCGACCTCCGGAGGTAAACAGAGCGACGCACCAGTTCAAATTACAAATATAGCCGGAAGCGGCGATGATCGGCCCTCGCTCACACCTACGCCACGCCGCACCCTGCATATGCCCCACGAATGCACCTTATAGGGGAGTTTCATTGTTGACAAAAGCGCGCGTTGCATGCTGGGAATTATTTGGTCGGCGGCAAGAAACACAAATTCAACATGACGGACGGAGCGAGAAAGCACGTAAAGGGTATTGATCCCGGTTATTTATCCACTCTAACGGCAGAGGACCCAAGACCATTTGACCAGAAATTGGTCATAAGCATCGACGGACGACAAATCACCCTTTTCAAACCCCGACAAAAGGTGGACCAAACCAAATTTCTGGTCAGAAATCACCAAACTACCTGGACAAATATTCACTTGGGCGATATCCACAATGACTTGGTGGAAACTCCTGGGCCATTCACAGCAGAAAAGATGAAAACCTCCAAGAGTCTCGATGTGTTGTTGAACTTGTTGGAGTCCACGGTTTGTTAGGATCTTCTACGTTTGCTCTGCGGATGTTTGAAAGACGTTTAATTCACCGTTAGTGGTTCTTTTCACTCGGAATATGAAAAAGACATTTTCCTTCTTCTGTGCTTCTATTTGTGCATCCGATAATGCAGCAGGAATTTACCATTATCGGGGATAAATACGCGAGGTTACGCACTGTGTTTGACGCTACCGTGTTTCTCGCCTCCGACCAAAATATTTCCCAGCAGCAACACGGGCTTTTAATAACAATGACGTCAGCTGAAACTCGCCTGTTTTCAAAAGGACAGACGCAGAAACGAGAAAACCAAAATCATATCTGAGGGAGAGGCGCAAGAAAAACAAATGTGCAAAAATGAATCAACGTAAAGATTTTGTCACTTACTCGACCAAAACGTTTACTCGAGTAAGAGTTCTGTTACTTCGGTGAAAAAAAATGACTGAAGGAGTAAAATCCAACGGTGAAAGTGTAATTTCTTGGAGAGTAAACAACAAACTGTGCGGTGGATTGATTCTCCTGCTGAAGACGTCTCTGCCAAACAACTACACCTGTAATCCAGCACAGAGCCACTGCTGACAGGGCACCTCAAGGACACCCGCTCTCCCCTCTGCTCTTCTCCTCCTCCTCTCCTCTTTCTCTTCCACCTTCTGCCCTTTTCTCTTCTGTTATCTTCTCTTCTCTTCCACCTCCTACCCTCTCCTGTTCTCTTCCCTTCCTCCTCCTCTCCCTGCTCTCTTCTCCCTTCTTCTCTCCCTTTTCCTTCTCCTCCTCCTTCTCTCCCTGCCCTCTTCGCTCTTCTTCTCTCCCTCCCTCCTCCTCATCTTCCTCTCCTTGCTCTCTCCTCCCTTCTTCTATCTCTCCTCCTCCTCTTCCTCTCCTTTCTCCTCCCCTCTCTCCTTTCTCCTCTACTCTCCTCTCCCCTCTCTTTTCCCCTCGACTCTCTCCTTTCTCCTCCCCTCTCTCCTTTCTTCTTCCCTCTCTCCTTTCTCCTCTCCCCTTTCTCCTCCCCTCTCTCCTTTCTCCTCTCCTCTCTCCTTTCCTCCCCTTCTCTCCTTTCTCCTCTCCTTCTCTCCTCCCCTTCTCTCCTTTCTCCTCCTCTTTTCTCCTTTTTCCTCCCCTCTCTCCTTTCCCCTCGACTCTCTCCTTTCTCCTCTCCTCTCTCCTTTCTTCTTCCCTCTGTCCTTTCTCCTCTCTTTCTCCTCTCTCCTTTCTCCTCTCCTCTCTTCTTCAATCCCTCCTCCTCTTCCTGCCCCCTCCTCTCTTCTCCCCCTCTTCCTCCTCTCCCTGCCCTCTGTTCTCTTCTTCTCTCCCTCCTCCTGCCCCTCATCTTCCTCTCCTTGATCTCTCCTCCCTTCTTCTATCTCTCCTCCTCCTCCTCCTCTATTCCCCTCTCTCCTTTCTCCTCTCCCCTTTCTCCTCCCCTCTCTCCTTTCTCCTCTCTCCTCCCCCTCTCTCCTTTCTCCTCCTCTTCTCTCCTTTTCTCCCTTCCTCCTTCCCCTCTCCTCTCCTTCTCTCCTTCTCCTTCCTCTCTCTCTTTCTCCTCTCCTCTCTCCTCCCCTCTCCTTCTCTCCTCCCTCTCTCCTTTCTCCTCTCCTTCTCTCCTTTCTCCTCCTTTTCTCCTCCTCTTTTCTCCTTTTCTCCTCCTCCTTTCTCCTCCCCTCTTCCCTTCTCTCCCCTTCTCTCCTCTCCTCCCTTTCTCTCCTTTCTCCTCTCCTCTCTCCTTTCTTCTTCCTCTGTCCTTTCTCCTCTCTTTCTCCTCTCTCCTTTCTCCTCTCCTCTCTTCTTCTATCTCTCCTCTTCCTCTATTCCCCTCTCTCCTTTCTCCCTCCCCTTTCCTCCTCCCCTCTCTCCTCTCCTTTCTCCTCTCCCTCTCTCTCCCTTCTTCCCTCCTTTCTCTCCTTTCTCCTCTCTCCTTTCTCTCTCTCTCTCCTCCTCCTCCTTTTTCTCCTCCTCTTTTCTCCTTTTTCCTCCCCTCTCTCATTCCTCCTCTCCTTTCTCCTCCCTTCTCTCCTCCTCCTTTCTCCTCCTTTCTTTCTCCCCCTCCCTCCCTTTCTCCCCTCTCCTTTTCTCCTTCTCCTTCTCCTCCTCCCTTCTCCTCCTTTCTCCTCTCCCTTCTCTCTCCTCCTTCTCTCCTTCTCTCCTCCTCCCCTTCCTCTCTTCTTCTCTCCTTTCTCCTCCTCTTCCTTTCCTTTCTCCTCCCCCCCTCTCTCCTCCCCTCCTCCTCCCTCTCCTTCCTCTCCCTCTCTCCTTTCTCCTCCCCTCTCTCCTTCCTCCTCCCCTCTCTCCTTCTCTTTCTCTCTTTCTCCTCCCCTCCCTCCTCTCCTCCTCCCTCTCTCCTTCTCCTCCCCTCTCCTTTCCTCCTCCCCACTCTCCTTTCTCCTCCCCTCTCTCCTTTCTCCTCCCCTCTCTCCTTTCCTCTCTCCTTCCCCTCCCCTCTCTCCTTTCTCCTCTCCTCTCCCTCTCTCCTTTCTCTAAACATTAAACTCTGCTCGTGCGCCAGAGCTGCGGCGCTGGGCAGGAACGTCGGCGAGGACGCGGAGCCTGGCGAGTCGTGCAGTTTCTGAAAGAGAGAAATATTCACCTGGACGCGATCAACATCTCCGCGTGCCACACCCCACCTGCCGGTGCGTAGGAAACACAAAACAGAACTACTACGCCGAGGAAAGAAGTTGAAAGGATCTGAAGTCTGTTTGAATGAGCATCTGACTAAGAAAACGTCCGATATTTCTCGTGAATCCTGAAGAAAAACATCAAGATCAAATCAACGTGGATGAGAAACTGTAAGGTTTTCATTCAACTTCAGGGAGCCACTCCGGATCGAGACAAAGTGACACTGGTAAGGGATCGCAAAGATCTGGATCAGTTCAGATAATGAAACTCTATAGAGGCTTTGCACCGTCACGTGACGCCTACAGCAACAGTACCTACGCCGCCATGACACCGGCACACTGTCATTGACTTCAGCAGCATCGCAGAAACATGGGCAGGTTTTGTTGTGTATTTGGTTGTTCTACATCACAGGTGTCAAACATAAGGCCCAGGGGCCAGATCCGGCCCTCCAAGACCTTTAATGTGGCCCTTGGGTGATTTTCTACTAAAATATTTAAATTATATTTCCTATTAAAATATTGGTAATTTTCTGTGGTGTTTATCACAGCAGCGTCTCCAGCGTCTCTGTACGTGGCCCCTCCCACCAGAGCAGCACAAATGAAGACTTGTCTCTTTCCAAACGCTCTTAAAGGACGATCGTTTTGACTGTTGACCGTGACACCCTCATCAGAAAAATGTCCAACATGAGAAAAGTGGAGCCGAGTGCAGGATTTTACAACAAAAATTGACTTATTCCTGTTTGCAGACAAGTTCATGTTAAAATATTGTGTTGAAATTGAATTTTTCTTCAAAGTTTCCAGTTGTTCATAATATTATAATATTATAATAAGAAAGAGTTCATCAATTAAAAAAGATTTCTGTAATAGATTTGTGTTTCTCTGCACAAATATTTTAAGTTATTGTAATTTTTGGGGTTTATATGACATGAGTTTTCTGATTCCGGCCCCTTTGGGATCAAAGTAGGTTGGATACGGCACTTGGACCAAAATGAGTTTGACACCCCTGGTCTAGACACTCTTAATGGGATAAAATGAATCGTTTCTTCACTGTTCCTCTGGAAATGACTCATCAGGATCAAACAAGGGAATTATCGGAAAAAAACGGGAATTATGGTTAACATAAACTGCGAAGAGATTTCCTATGGTACCATCAAGACACACTCACGTCACTTTCATCAAGGTATTTGCTATTTAAATTGTTTCATATCTTATTTAATGAGAGAAGCACATTTACTGAACTAAAATGTAAAAAGAAAACATTTGCAGTGTGAGTGGCAGTAGAAACTGTATCTTCCAGCGCACATATAAACATGTCACTCGTCGTAGGACCCATGTTTTCTTTATTGTCTTGCTTATCCCAACTATGTCTTCTAGAATTAATCGTTTTTTTGCGAGTGGATCTTTCTAACGTTCGCGAGGATCTTTTCATGGCCGATTCTTTCGAGGTTCGGCTCACAGACTCTTCGACTCATGCGCCGTGTTGATCATCGGAGCCCAATGTGGGTTCGTTGAATCGTAAACGAGTGCGGGTTTTCCTGGATAAATGAATGAAATTTTAGTTCAGTAAATGTGCTTCTTTCATTAAATAAGCTATGAAACCAATTTAAATAGCAAATACCTTGATGAAACTTCGGGTGTCTTGATGGTACAATAGGAAATCTCTTCGTGGTTTATTTTTGCTATAATCCACGTCTTTTTTTTTGATAATTCCCTTGTTTGATCCCTGATGAGTCATTTCCAGAGGAATAGTAAAGAAATGATTCGTTTTATCCCGTTAAGAGCGTCTAGAACAACCAAATACACAACAAAACCTGCCCATGTTTCTCCGATGCTGCTGAAGTCAATGACATAGTCGTGCCCGGTGTCATGGCGGCGTAGGTACCGTTGCTATAGGGGTCACGTGACGGTGCAAAGCCTCTATAGGCGAGTTTCATTGTTGGCAAAAGCGCGTGTTGCATGCTGGGAATTATTTTGGTCGGCGGCAATAAACACTAATTGAACATGACGGACGGAGCGAGAAAGCACGTAAAGGGTATTGATCCTGGTTATTTATCCACTCTAACAGCAGAGGACCCAAGACCATTTGACCAGAAATTGGTCATAAGCATCGACGGAGCCAAATCACCCTTTTCAACCCCGACAAAAGGTGGACCAAACCAAATTTCTGGTCAGAATCTCCAACTACCTGGACAAATATTCACTTGGGCGATATCCACAATGACTTGGTGGAAACTCCTGGGCCATTCACAGCAGAAAAGATGAAAACCTCCAAGAGTCTCGATGTGTTGTTGAACTTGTTGGAGTCCACGGTTTGTTAGGATCTTCTACGTTTGCTCTGCGGATGTTTGAAAGTCGTTTAATTCACCGTTAGCGGTTCTTTTCACTCAGAATACGAAAAAGACATTTTCCTTCTTCCGTGCTTCTATTTGTGCATCCGATAATGCAGCAGGAATTTACCATTATCGGGGATAAATTCACGAGGTTACGCACTGTGTTTGACGCTATCGTGTTTCTTGCCTCCGACCAAAATATTTTCCAGCAGCAACGCGGGCTTTTAATAACAATGACGTCAACTGAAACTCGCCTATTCGCCAATGACTTTTCATAGGCTGCGTTCAGACTGCAGCCTGAAGTGACCCAAATCTGATTTTTTGACCTCTATGTTCCTGTATCTGATCTTTTAATGTCAGTCTGAACGACACAGATCAAATTTTTTTCAAATGTGACCCAGGACACTTGGATATGTGCTCCTGAAACTGATACATATCTGATCTTTTGACATGTGACTTCAGTCTGAACGGCCAAAGTGCATTCATCCACCTACACGTTATCAACAAGACACAAACGTCACTATTCTGCACTGAAGTCGGCGAAAATTGTTAATGAACTCTGTGTCACTGAAGTGAAGCACATCACCACTCACCACTCTTGGCTCCGTCTCCACATCCACACGTTCCTTTCAACGGACTGAACCACAAAACACCACGACCAAAAACCTCGTCCTTCTCCTTCTCAATCTCCTCCTTAAAACAAGTAAGTTGTTCATGTTCTGGCTCCGGTACGAGAGGAACTTTAAAATCTCCAGGTGCTCGATGCTGCGTCCATGTTTGGACAACTTCTGTAAACACAGAGACGCTCGCTGCGGTTGACGTCGTCGTGTCTCCAGTGTCACATGTGGGACACTTTTGGGCCGTTTAATGTTCACACTGGAGTCACATACAAGTCACATTTAATTGGAAATGTGAACGACCTCGCAAAAACATCGGATTTCACAAAAAAATCGGAATTGAGCGTTAAGCCCTGCAGTCTGAACGTAGCCCTAGTGCCTTAGAAATGGGGAAAGTAACTATGTTTCTGGGGAAATAAAATTAAATCGCGAATTGGATTATTTACGGACGCCCGGAGTGAGACAGCACGAAGAGCGATTATATAGGCGAGTTTCAGTTGACGTTATTGTTATTAAAAGCCCGCGTTGCTGCTGGGAAATATTTTGGTCGGAGGCAAGAAACACGATAGCGTCAAACACAGTGCGTAACCTCGCGTATTTATCCCCGATAATGGTAAATTCCTGCTGCATTATCGGCAGTGTTGGGAAGGTGACTTTTAAAATGTAATCCCCTACAGATTACAGATTACATATCCCAAAATGTAGTTTGTAACGTAATCCATTAAGTTACTTAAAGTGAGTAATGTAATCTGAATACTTTGGATTACTTGATTTGCTGTAGAGAAGCAAAGACGAGGAAATCTTCACATAACATGTTTTGTTTTGTCTGATAAAAGAAAATAAAAAGTCCACACTTTACTGAACCAAATTAAAAATATTATTGACAGAAGACGAGGAGACACGTCCACGCAGCAGGATTTAGTCCTGTTAAATCCTGTTTGGGACATAGTTTAGACCTGGTTTAGTCCTAGTTTATACCTGAAAACTGAAAAAAAAAGTGAAAACAGGAAAATCCCTCTGTGTAATCCATTTATTTCAACAAAGTAACTGTAATCCAAATACCACTCACTGAAACAGTAACTGTAACTGAATACAGTTACTCATCATTTGTTCTCTGATTACGTAACTCTGGTACATGTAATCTGTTACTCCCCGACACTGATTATCGGATGCACAAACAGAAGCACAGAAGAAGGAAAATGTCTTTTTCGTATTCTGAGTGAAAAGAACCGCTAACGGTGAATTAAACGTCTTTCAAACATCCGCAGAGCAAACGTAGAAGATCCTAACAAACCGTGGACTCCAACAAGTTCAACAACACATCGAGACTCTTGGAGGTTTTCATCTTTTCTGCTGTGAATGGCCCAGGAGTTTCCACCAAGTCATTGTGGATATCGCCCAAGTGAATATTTGTCCAGGTAGTTGGCGATTCCGACCAGAAATTTGGTTTGTTCCACCTTTTGTCGGGGTTGAAAAGGGTGATTTGGCTCCGTCGATGCTTATGACCAATTTCTGGTCAAATGGTCTTGGGTCCTCTGCCGTTAGAGTGGATAAATAACCGGGATCAATACCCTTTACGTGCTTTCTCGCTCCGTCCGTCATGTTCAATTAGTGTTTATTGCCACCGAACAAAATAATTCCCAGCATGCAACGCGCGCTTTTGTCAACAATGAAACTCGCCTATAGACACGCTCGTGCACTTTCTTGCTTGTTTTGTTTATTTATTAGAACTACTCTGGGAACTTTTCGTAAAGATTCTGTGGGAGAAACGTTAATTCTACTACGGATTACAAGGACAAAAAGCACGGAATGATTTACAGCTAGTAGAGATGGACAGGAGACTAGATTTATGTTGGACTTCGGGGACTTGGGACTAGGTGGATCTGGGACAACAGGGACAATCTGGGACATTAAAGTGACTTTCAGCCAAAGTGAACTCGGGACAACTGGGACGTGGGGTTTTCTGGACGTGGGACTTATTGGACTTACCGAGTACAGTCAGAGAATGTGCATGTGTGTGTGTTTGAGTGTGTGTGTGTGTGTGTCTGTGGGTGCTTGTTCTGTTGGTCCAGGGCGGTGTCATGTGTACGTGTGGGTGTGTGCGTATTACTCGTATGCGTGAAGGAGAGACGGAGATTAAGCAAGAAAATTATTCAAACTGATGATGGCAAATGAACACGAATTCACTGACATCTTCAAAGACGTGGATGACAATGAATTCATATAGAAAGCTGTTAGAATCATAAATAATGCTGATTACTATGCCCCATTAAACTAAAT